CCTCCATCATGTGTTTGCTTTCGATTTACGTGAAAAATGGTGCATGAACCATTGAGCGGGCGAGTACAATACCGTATTGCACGGCAAAACACGTCTGGACCGTGCGGTCCAGACGGATGGGACAGGTTGAGGGTCCGCATTGAAGGTGTCCTAATGAACTTGATGGCTTACATCGTGTCGCATGCTTGCAATTGGACCTCGTGAATTTGGATTTTGCTCCTCTGCACAAGCTCAAGATAGCATACAATACTTTCTTGACACCATTTGCTACCAATTTACTGATGGGTTAGCTACAGCCTACAACCACAGCTAATAAGTTTCAATGCAGCTCTGAACTGACTGCATATGACTACATGACAACATTAATTCTAACATCATGTGCTTGATTTTCTAGGCGATTCGATTTGGAAACGGAGGCAATATGTTAGGTAGAATTCAATTACAACCGTACTCTAGATTTATTGATGAATTTCGAGTATTGCGTATGACTACATGACAAGAAAGCATGTTGGATGTCCATGAAATGTCCGTCCGCAGATCCAGTGAAGGAGTATGCGCATAGTGATCCTGGATTATCGCACTTAGTGAAAGTCGTACCAGATTTTACCCCATTTAACAGAAGTTTTACTAGATTTTATCACATTACTGACCTGTCAGGTGAGCTCCAGTCATCGGATACATATGATGTGCCACATTGCAGTTTTCTTCCGGGGTTTTCCTTGTACTCAAATCGGCTGAATGACTTGGTCGAACAAATATTTTTCTCACGGTCGTCAAATGTCAGTACGCACCGCTTCGGCTCGATGAGTTTCTACCTCATTCTTTTTCACAACATTTGCGTTTAGCTGTTGCATCATACTAGACATAACTCCGTTGATGGTTTGCCTGGCAAAAAAAACCACTAGAGAAACTATCCGCAACCTGGAATACTTAAAAGGGAGCAAAAAATCCGCAAAACATTCACTAAATGGGTTTATTCTAATAAAAAGTTATTAAATTAGGTAATTAGCATAAAAATTGTCAAAGCACGGAGTAAAAACTGGAGTTCACTCAAATTTGTTTAAGCACTGTGTTATGAAATGAAGGGGTTGTGCCATTTTAGTTTTGATATTTTCATACAATTAAATTTTGTTCAAGTGCTACCTGAGAACATCATATTCAAGTATATTATAACAAGTTTTCACAGTCGTATCATTTACTCACTCCGTCCCATAATGTAAGACTTTTTTTCATACTAGTATAGTGTCAAAAAGCGTCTTACATTATGAAACGGAGGAAGTAGTTTACAATGATACTAAAAAACTTGACCTTTAAAGATGAATTTGCAGATGGAGCAAAAGGAGTGGCAAAGCCAAATAGGCATGTCGATAGCGATGCGGCAAATGGATGATCATTGTGTTACGACTCTTCTAGTTAGATGCCCAACAAGGCGTGGGGTGGGGGGTGGGGGCATCTCCAAAGCGGACACCAAAACATTCTCAAATATTTGGACCGGACGGTCTGGACATTTTTAGCAAATTTGAGAAACATGGTTGGATGATCGGCGGATTGTCGGTGGAACATTTGCGGGTGAAAATTCGGTGAGCCCCGTTGGAGATGCCGAGAGAGCGGTCCACATGGATGGCACGCCATTGTTTCTAGCTTTGTGATTCGAGATTTGCATATGACTGGACTTTAAAGAAAAAGTACTTCCTGTGTAAAAAAATATAACTAGCAAATATGCCCGTGCGTTGCACCGGGAGAATCAAAACACACTTCCCTGGCCCAATGACCCAAGACAACATTCTGTTGCATCAGCCATGTAATATATATTTTACCAATGGTCTTAAAATGCATGTATGAGATGCTACACTTCAATCATGAAAGAATTGATTAATTTAAATATCTAAATTACCTTCCTAGTTAATTTGCAGTATAAGGAGTCATTACCTTCATCATTTGATTTATCATTGAGAGCCTAAATCATGAGGATCGTACATGTATGTACATATATAAGAAATTAAGGTTTAATTGGTAAGTTACCAGATGCCCATTACTGATTTTCGTTACCAAATTTCTTCTAAACATACATGCACGGAGACCTATAAAGTCTAAAGTGCAACTCAATTATCTTTCATATAGAAGGAAACATAATAAACAGATTTGCACATACCACACTAAAACGAATTTTTTATTTGAAGAGGTCACAATAATTTTCATATAGAAGTAAACATAATAAACAGATTTGCACATACCACACTAAAATGATTCGGAATTTCTTTTTTTAACCATGCATGCTTGAGATTCCATGAAAAGGCATTATTCCCCGTGCGTTGAAACGAAAAAAAAATCATCCCTCATACACTGACAGCATTGGCGAATCCCTTCAAATCTTTCACAATGCCACACGAGAAACAACATGATAAGTGGTGTCGCGCAAAGTTCATAAGGTTGTATTATTTGTGAAATGTACTCAATATGTTTCCAATTTATTAGACAACAGAAATATCAACGTTAAGACGGGATTTTCAAAATACCCATATAAAGAAGATATTAATAAAGGTTGCAGCATAAATGGAATATTAGGAGTGATGATTAATATAATAGCATATTTCAAATCTACACATCTTTTTAAAGGGATTTCCATATATAACATGTTAGATTTGGAGTTAGGATTTGAAAGTGATTAATATAATACCATATTTGAAATCTACACATCTTTTTAAGGGATTTCTATATATAACATGTTAGATTTGGAGTTAGGGTTTGAAAGTTATGAGTTTTTTTGAAATATTTGAATATGTCCAAAAATAGAAAGAATGAAAATAGAGTAACTGGTACATTGTGCAGCCCATATGCTAAGTGACGCTGGGGCGAGTAGTAATATCCTACGCCTACTAACATTAATAGGAGAGAAAAAGAAGAAAAGAGAGAAGGGGGAATCGAACATGGGTCTCCCAGGTCGAGAGGTGAGGCTCACACCACTACGCTAGCCACCCACAAGTTATTGACTACATGGGCTTAATTTTAATAACCGAGCCTGCCGCGGATTTTAGAAGGGGCAAACCGAACTGTTTTTTTCACTTACCAATGGCATAGTGGGTAATTTTTTACAACCTCAGGGGCAATTTTAATGACGGACGACAGAAACCCAATTCTCTTTATTATTATTATTATTATTATTATTATTATTATTATTATTATTATTATTATTATTATTATTACTAGCACAAATGCCCGTGCGTTGCAACGGGAGAAAAATAATAATATCACACGTCTTTTCTCGTTTATTACAACTCGTACTACAGTGATAAGTAGAATTATTTTTTGCCTCCATAAGTAAACTTGCTGAAATGTCTCCTATGTTTCTCTTTCTCCTATTTTTTTGCACAAAACTCTTCCATGAATCTGCAGTCCTGGTAGCTAGCACACTGTTTATAATAGGTTCTGTGGGAAGTAGTACCGCCGTGCATGGAGCTCCTTGGTGCAGCTGACATGGTTGTATACCTAGAAAGACCACAATGAAATAATATTCAGGGGATATTTGCTCGACGCCAGCTCAGGTGCTTCACACTAAGGGAAGACCTTGGGCTTGGACAGGTCGTGCACTGTTCCAGAATCTTCATCATGCTGATGGTACAACGGCCAATAGAACCTAATTGAGGAAGCGTCGTTTTCCTTCTCAGTCCTCTGGTGATGTTTGGTGGGGCAACCCATTGTTGTAGGTACATTATTAATGCATGTACTCTGTTTTCTTTCATTATTGTTCAGCTGCAGTTGCAAATCATCATATGCGTAGGATGTATTTTTATGCCATACCAAAAAAGGATGTAGTTATTTACCATCCTACCATCATCAGGTTACACAGCGACCGTGATTAGGAGAAGTAAAATATCCCCTTTGGTGAAAAACAAAACATTTAGAAGTAGTAGTCCGGCTTGGACCATATTTTCTTATTGATAATCTAATATTTCTTGAAATGTAAAGCTTCTCTACTTTCACGTCCAAATATTGGGAAGCACAAAACAATATTATGTCTGTACTGAAGAAAGAAGTACAAAACCTAAAAGGATTAAGTTATTGATGCTTGAAGGTTGTCCAGGTAGCATCAGGTAAGAATAGTAGGAACAGAATTGCATCAAGTGTTACCTTCTGGAAAGCTCTGGCATGCAGGCCTTATAAGATTAGATATTCAATTAACTAAAGTCCTAGAACTTACAAAGAGGAAATCTAACAAGATAAGAAAAGTTCAACTTTCATAAGTAAAACTGAACCTGATGACATAATTATCTATGTTGTGTGAAACTAAATCAATCAATTTTGGTTATTACAGGCAAACCAATATGATAAAATGCCCATCTCATCTCCAACTTGTCTGGCCTTTATAGCAGCTAAAGTTGCACTAATTACCTCAACCTCTGCAGCAGATGCTTCAACCGAATAATTAGCACATTTGCACTATATTCTGCAAACACACACGCACAAAATACGTTCGAAACACATCTTAGTAGGCGGTAGCTCACATTTAATATGAATAGAAGACCATCCATAGAAAGATGGTCTGCACAAGTCTAGGATAGAAATAATGCAAACCTCGGTGTCACTGGACCACAACATTCTCAGGGCTGATATCCGTATAAACATCCCCATTAACAGGAGGAGCAACTGGGTTTCCAAGAACCACAGCTCCATCAGCAGTTGTTTCTGCAGTCATTTGCCTGTTTGTTCATCATCGTAGCATATATGCCTTGTGTTCCTCCAGCTTGCATGTAGCAGGAGCTGCAGTTACATGGTTAGCTGCATTTGTTGTTGCAGCAGCAAGAAGGTCATCTAGCAGCACACCTGCGGTTACAACTACATATTAATTTTTGCATCAACAAAATGTAAACTAATGAACCTACAAAGGACGGTGGATGTCATATTCAGAGTCCATGGGAGAAATGGAGAAAGCAAACTGCATGCATTATGGATTATATTACTACAATATAGTGCAAGGAAGGCCATCCTTAGGTCCATACCTCTTAGGAACGTCCAGCAGCATGGTCCCTTGCAGATAGCTTGGCCTCGTCGAGTAGGAGGTTGTCAGGTGCAACATTGTAGTTGGGAGGGTTATCTGTAGTTGACGTATTTATAGTATAGTATTCTTCACTCTTCATTCTCTTGAATCTATCAGACTTGTATGTAATACATATCTTAAGAAAATCAAATGAAACAACATTAGATACATGTAAACATGAAGGAAGCACATTTGTCTAACTAAAATAAGACAAAGAAGAGATCCTTACTGTAATTGCATTCTCAACCAAGTGAAATACTAAGCCTTGCATGCCTATGAGCTCATCAAAAGGGACATCCTCGGCGCCATCCATGTCATCCAGACCATCTAACATATGCTCAACTTGGGCCTATTAGAGTGATTTGGATGTTTGTCAGAAAGCTTCTTCACCCAGCTGGCAAGTCTTCAAATCAAGCATGCAAATGTAGATTCGTTTCCTGTAGATATTTGATCTTCACGAAATACATGACCACAAACACTAATAACCGGGACAGATCATTCCAAGGCCAACCTTTTCTGATATATAGGTTGTACATCAGAAAATCCCACTGCATTATCTAACCATGTAGTACAAGACACCACTTTAGACCATCAGTACCAGAAAGTAAACTTTGCAAAACTGTTCGTACATACTTGAGTCTTGACACGATTCATTAGCCATATAAATAGGAATTTTCAGGTTGGGATAGGGCGCAATTAAAAAGCAGATGAGATGCGAGTTTGGCTTCAACAATCATGAAGATATATCAGGAAATTACGAAGTTTGATTCGGTGAATACCTAAATGCAGAACCGACAGATGGAGTTCTGACAAAGTGTGGAGTAGGGGCGAACTACGGGTGGTGTGCCGGCAGCTCGATCCCCAACTCATTCGCTCGTGCGCCGCACCAGGAGAGGAGCGATGCGCCCCTCGCGCGCCTGCGCGTCCCGCCTGGCAGTGGCTTTGACGCCGGCGAAGTCCTCGCTCCCGGACGCCTCCACTCTCGTGTCCTTAGTCTCCGTGCACACCTCCCGCTTCGTTGTCGCCGCCTGATGCGGCCCCCGAGCGTAGCCTCCCCGCCATGGCCGCCGCCCCGCCTCTCCATTTTCTCCTCCTCCGTCTCCGCCCGCCCGTCTCTGTGCTCCCCTCCCACCTCGCCGCCGCTGCCTGATGCGACGCCCGAGCGCAGCGCGACACCCTCCCAGGTCAGATGAGGCTGTAGTGGAGCTCCACGTCGGGATCCATGGCGCTGTTGTTCCTAAGTCCTGACAGAGACAAGATTTGAGAGAGAAAAAAGGAAGGGAGAAGGGAGAAGAAGAGAGGTAGAGTGCGTGGGAGAGGGTAATGGACAACGGCTGGAGGTCGGCGGCGGTGGCGCGGGACGCCGGCGTCAGTAGCAGGCCGAGGCGCTCAGACCTCGGGGAGGAGCAGAGCACGGGGTAGCGCGGGCTAGATCGGGAGGCAGTTTTTTTCTTTCTCGCCCATGCCGGTTCGATTGACTTTATTATATGGACTGCGGGTTGAATACTCTAAACCATAGGGACTTTTTCGCAAAAGCAGCGACGACGTACCACCAGAAGCACTAATTGCTTTATTAGTAGGTAAAGATAAAGAGGTAAAGATAAAGATAAAGATTTCCGAGGGATATTTTTTTGTCCGTGAAACTTACTGAGGGAGTACATATAACTAGTAGACTGCCCGTGCGTTGCCACGGGCTCTTGAAATAGTTTGCAAGAGTTACATGTTAACTTTTTAAGGTCTCGCCCCGCCATAGATCCAGAACCCCACCACTGATTCTACCCCGCCTAGGCCGCCGCCTGCCGCCGTGCTGCCCCATTGCGTTCGCCACCGCCCCGACCCCGCCCGCCTCCTCTCTGTTAGAATAAATCCGAGGCCATACCGTTGATCATCTGAGGACCAAGCAATCACATGAGCACGACACCGAGATTTGTTAACGAGTTCACCGATATGGCTACATCCCCGGGGCCTGACTACGGGCGCTCCTCCCCGTGACACCGTCATAATACCGCACACCGGCCACCCGGGCGCCGGCACATGCCGCCGGCTCCCCCTTGCGCACCTGTGCTATTATGTTGGCATAGGTTACATCATGTGTCTACCCTCGCTATATAAGAGAGGCCTAGGATACAAGTGTCCTATTAGAACACGAGTCCATATCCTATCTAAACACAATACTACTCAGAGTCCAACTGTAACCTACCTTGTACACAATATTCGACACAACTCTAACAAATTCCACCTTGGCGAATATTCTCCACCACCTTGAATTCGTCCATGTGTCAAACTTCCATGTACATTGGACTTGAGCTTATCCCGTGAGCACCGCTGCTACTCCAAAGACTCCATGTGACTCCACCTGCGACTTGTAGTCCCTTCTTTTCTTGACCACAGTCAACACTCGAGCAAAATTAAGTTCCTTGTTACTCTAGTTTGTGCTCCCAACTTTCAGAGTATCAATCCAACGCCATCACACACCGATCACTGACCTGCGTGAAAGTGAACAACTCACATATTGGGTGTCGCACACAAGAGTTACCTGAACTCAACATCACCGCTCCTTTCTTGACCACATGTCTGAAACTTGAAGGAATTTCACCGTTTCTTGTAGTCATCCCGAGTCAAATTCGCAGTTGTCTCACCACATGTATGACCACCAGAGCCCTGGCCCATCTCCATGTCTCGTGCATATCGCACGCCTCGCCGCTATTACCGCGTCGAGCCTCCGCTGTCCTGGTTGAGTCTCAAGGGTCGTGAAACCACACCACTCAACCCCCACTGCAGAGTACCACCGATCATCACCGACCGATGACGAGTTTCACGCTTCCATCAGACCACTGGGCTCCAGTCCAAATTACGTGTCCCTCGCTTTTTTCGCTGAATAGGCTTCGACTCTCTGAGCTCTTACGCCGTAGCCCCTCAATCAGCACCGAGTGAAGTCTTCCAGACTCCAGCTCCACCTTCAACATGACTTCATGATGGTTGTACGTGCCATCCCGCGCCCCGTTGACTCCAAGCTTCACGTGTACACCATCTTGAATCAACCCCACGTCATAGTCTTGTCAAAGCCACACAAGCCTCGGGCCTGCGCCACGTGTTTCCACGCCCAAAAGTCAGTCACCATCGGCATCACGCTCCTATGTCGTTATCGCCGATCCCACCACCATCTTCTGTACCAACCGACTTGCGTCGATCCGTCAGACTTCCTAGTCCGACCCAGCCGAACTCGTTCGACTGTACGACACGCTCCAGGCTCCCAAATTGTCTTCCATGAATTTCCATCCATCACATGATAATTCCATCTTAGCTGACGTGACTTCCCGCAATACCTTCAAGCATCTCTGTTGTGCCAACAAATCCAAGCTATCAACGCCATGCCCAAGTACACGAACAGCCTCCGCATACCAATAGCAATTTCCAACCAAAAAACTTTTGGTCTTCTCACGTAGATCCATTGACACAAACTTTTAATGCTGGCTACTTGCCTTTGCCTTGACAACGTCTACACAAGTTCTACTTCTGATGGATACGTATCGCTTGATTAGCTCCTGCCTGAACGCACCACACCACGACAGGTATTCACCAGGTGTTCTTTTTCTTCGAAACAAATCTCGCACGTAGTAACTTCCGAACAGCTGGCACGGGCCTTCTTCGGGCACGCACGGCCCCGCCTGGCCTGCCCACCAAGCAAGCACTGCGCTGCTGCTAGACTGCGCTTCACGATCGCTGCGCCAACGCGCACCTAACCAGGTCGCTTCCAGGCGCTGCGTCAATCGATAAGCCTGCTGCTTACGCTATACCACACCGCCGCTGTTGTCCGATTACCACCACAACTCGCTGACATTGCTGTTTGCTTGATTTCTTCCGATCGATCTCAACCATGCCAACATGTATTTGCGGAAACTTCCGTGTACACGATACCGACCTGAACATCAAGCCTTCCTCTCGATCAATCAACACCCCGTAGCCTCCGAACAACCTAGCTCTGATACCACTTGTTAGAACAAATCCGGGGCCATACCGTTGATCATTCAAGGACCAAGCAATCACACGAGCACGATACCGAGATTTGTTAACGACGTTCACTGATATGGCTACATCCCCGGGGCCTGACTACGGGCGCTCCTCCCCGTGACACCGTCACAATACCGCAAATCGGCCACCCGGTCGCCGGCACATGCCGCCGGCTCCCCCTTGCGCGCCTGTACTATTAGGTTGGCATAGGTTACATCGTGTGTCTACCCCCGCTATATAAGAGAGGCCTAGGATACAAGTGTCCTATTAAAACACGAGTCCATATCCTATCTAAACACAATACTACTCAGAGTCCAACTTTAACCTACCTTGTACACAATATTCGACACAACTCTAACACTCTCTGGCCGCCTCCGCCTCCGGTCCATCCTCCGCCCGGCCCCGCTCCATCCACCTCCCCTCCTGCCCTGCTCCGTCCGCCTCCTCTCCGGCCCTGCTCCGTCCGCCTCCTCTCCGGTTCGTCCGCTGCACCGCTCCGTCCGCTTCTGCCCCGCGCCGCACGCTGCCGCCCCGCTTCGTCCGCCTCCGCCCCACGCCGCATGCCGCCTCCCCGCTCCCTGCTCGGCCGTCGCCCGCTCCCTGATGGAGCCGAAGAAGACGCCGAAGGGAAAGTACGGTTTCTTCGGCATGAGGGTGAAGCCCTCCGGGAACTTTAGACTGGAGTTCTCCGATGCCGGGCAGCGTTGGTGGCTCGGCATGTATCCCACCGCCGATGAGGCCTCTCGTGCCTACGACGTGGCGGTGTGGCGTGCCGGATGGCCGAAGACGGACCTAAACTTCCTGGAGGTCCAGTCCCAGGCGGTGGCGGAGTGGCTCGTGCTGCAGGGCATCCGGATGGAGGAGATGCCGACTAAGAAGGCGAAGAAGAGACCCGCGGTTGTTGTCGCTCCCGGCGAGAGCGACGAGGCGGCAATAGCTTGGTTTGCGTGATTTGCGTTTTGCTGCAAAGCCATCTCTAGTGAAATGCTATTTGCTACATTTTTAAATAGGAAAATTATTCCGATGAGCCAGCCATAACTCAACAGACCAATCTCTAATGAAATTCTATTTGCTACATTTTTTAAATAGAAAAATTATTCCGATCAGCCAGCCATAACTCAACAGACCAATCCAAACCCACATTTTCTAAAGTAAAAAATATATTTCCTTTGATAGATCAAGATGCCAAAGTGTCGTTTCCCCGACTGCTATGTTCCTATACACGCAGAGCAAATTATTTTTCAAATCAAGGAATTAAGAAAAGGAAGAATATCGTGATGTTCGTGGCACTTGCCAGGTCTGCCATGCTACCATGGCATTGTC